AAATACATGAAAATACTCATTTACTGGCTTTTTTGCAGCTAGATTACTTGACTGAGCTTCTCCACAAGATCCTCCTTGATAATGCAGCCTTCATCTCCCAATTTTACAAACTTTTATTTTTAAATTATTATTTTAATTCTTCCTAATGTACTGAGCTGGAGTCTTAAAAATATTCAGGCATCACTTGGGCCAGCAGGAGAGTAGCTGACTTCCCTGATGACCCAAAGAGATGAGCTCAGCGGAAGATGAAACCAAAACCAGCAGCATGTTCATCTCCACTGCGTTGCAGAAGGAGAAACAAATATTCTGTCAGTTCTCCTTATCTTCACCATTGGATTATGGGCGCTTCTAATCTTCTTCAGTCCTTTCTGAAAAATTCCTTCATAGAAGGAAACAGAAAAATTTGTTTTAGGTTTTGGACATGACTTTTCAAGCCCTTCCAGCACCACTGTGTCACCGTGGCTATCCAGCTTCCCTTGTGAGCTTTCACAGCTAGTGCTGCGTGCAAAGTGGAGGGCACAAGCAGTCGAAAGGGTGGGGATTAGAAAAGCTGCGCTTAATAACGCCTGGATGATACAGAAGACCAGAAGGCCGAATTATTAAACCAGAACTGTGGAAGCGCATTCAGCTTACAGGGCTGCTCAGATCAGCCCTTTCAGAGCATTTCAGGGTAGCTTCTAAAACAGTGTAAATCAATACAGAGCATTAGGAGAAAAGGGGATGATCCAAGGCAGGGTCAAGAGCAGCTTACACCCTCAGGGGATCAAGACCTCTTGCATTTCTCTGAACGCTGATGAGCTGTGCTCTCCAATTACAGCGTTACCAGGAACGATTGGCCAGTTTGAACCCTTCAGTCATGCTTTTAGTGGTTACAGACTTTAGTGCCTGTTACCCTGAGAGTCATCTATCAGAGGAGCTGTGCTCATTAAATAGGATGGTAATTACTCCAGCTGCAAAACAATTATGTAAAATATCTTGGGTTAAAATAAAAATCTCAGAGTGTCTTCGACTACCATGTTATCTCAGTCAATGCCCTTACATCACACAAGTTTATCGCCACTGATCTCTGTTAGGTCTGTCATGTCTTTCATGCTGATGCTGCATTTCAGCAGACTCCTCTAATCATGCTGCTTTCTTCCTCCACGCGAGCTGGCGTCTGGACTTGGGGCGATGCAATACCATAACTGCCCCCTTTTTATTTCTGTTGGTGATTCAGAGTAGCTCAACACCTAGGCCGAGCGCTCTGCCGGTGTAGATCAGAGCATTACTGATAAATGAGCATGACTGATTTCAGGGGAACCGCTATGGTTCGCACCAGAGGAGGTGCGGGCAGGAGTTTGTTGACATCCAGTACAATACTTCGAAGGTGTTCAGATATTTAAGGAAGATGTTATGTGTGAGAAACTTCCCATCCCAATGCTTCCCAGGGCCTGGGAAGCTGCCGCAGCCCGTGCTGAAAGGG